GAGGGGGGCGATGACTAGGGTTAAGTCGGGCGTGTCCCTCTACAGGGGGAATGCTCAAACATAGTTGAAACAAAGTCTGGGGACTTTTTTTGAGCATTTTTGACCGTTTTGGACTTCTTTTGAGTATTTTTCTTTTTTTCGTCGAGAATATTTCTGCCGCGCACATGCCGCCGGTCCTGATCTGCACCCCCCCTCCCCCCTTGGACACCCCCCCGACGTGCCCGACGTGCCTCTTGGACACCCCCTCGTGGACACCCCCCTCTTGGGCACCCCCCTCCTTGGGCACCCCCTCTTGGACGTGCCCCCCCCCCTCTTGGACCCCCCCCCTCTTGGACGCCCCCTCTTGGGCACCCCCTCTCTTGGACGTGCCCCCCCCCTCTTGGACGTGCCCTCCCCCCCCCCTCTTGGACACCCGCCCCCCCCATTGGCCGCTCCCGGCGGGCCCGAGCGGGCCGGAGCCCAGGAGCTCGCCCTGCGGAGGGAGATCATGGACCTGGAGGGCCGCGCGGGCTCGGGGCGCGCGCGCGGCGGAGCGCGCTAGCAAAGCGGGCCCCGCGCCGAAGGGAAGGGAGGTCGTCGTCGTCGTCGTCGTCGTCGTCGTCGTCGTCGTCGTCCTCGTCGTCCTCGTCGTCGAGGTCGTCGAGGTCGTCGAGGTCGTCATGGTCATCGTCGTCGTCGTCCTCGTCGTCGTCGCCGCGGCCGTGGCCGCCGCCGCCGCCGCCGTCGTCGTCGCCGCCGTCGTCGTCGCGCGTGTGGCGGGCGCGGCGCAGGCGCCCAGAGTGCAGCAGTGGCCCCGCGTGTGGCCTGTGGAGGTGGGCGCGGGGCGGCCAGAGCGTGCCGAGATCCGACCCCTGCGGCGATCCACGCGCGACCCGATCGGTTTCCGGTCTGGTTCGATTCCGTTGTCGTCGTCGTCGTCGTCGTCGTCGTCGTCGTCGTCGTCGTCGTTGCCGTCGCCGTCGTCGTCGTCGTCGTCGTCGTTCTCGGCGTCGTCGCCGTCGGCGTCGGCGTCGTCGTCGTCGCCGTCGTTGCCGTCGTCGCCGTCGCCGTCGCCGTCGCCCTCGCCGTCGCCGCCGCAGTCGGCATCGCCGCCGCCGTCGCCGTCGCCGTCGCCAGCGTCCGATTTCTGCAATTCGATCTAGCTCAGGACCCAGTCGTTCGCCGATCTGGCTTGTCAGTCCGCGGCCCCAGAGATTCCGATCGCTTCCCCGGGAGGTTTTGGTCGTCCAGGATTCATTTCTGCTGGTCCTCGGGCCCAGACTTCAAGCAATCATATCGTCGGAGGTGCGGGGACGAAGCTCGAGAAGACCACGCCCCGAGACCCTCCACCCCCCTTCGGAGGGTGGCGCGCGCAAATCGGGACTGGTGGCTCCAGGGCGTGCCGAACCGCTCTCGGGAGGTCCCGGGGCGCTCCGAAAAGGCAGCGGCGCCCCCATGCTTGTTCATCCCTCAGGACCGCCAGATCTCAGATGTCCCAGGTTTTCCCTGATCCGACTTTGTTTGAGTCGGGCGCGTCCCTCTACAGAAGGAACATTCACACATAGGAACAAACGGTCAGGGGACGTTTTTTCCCCAAGCAGCTTGCTGAACGGGGTGCTGTTGTGATAGAAGCTAACGCCGGCCGAGGGAAGTTGGAGCAGAGACATCCTCACAAAAATTTGATGGTCCGGGCCGTTTCGCTTGTTGAGACATCCTCACAACTCTCGTTTCTGAGTTGGCCGGGATTGGCCGTTTCGCCTGAGACATGCTCGAAAAGTTGCGCTCCGGGACGCCGCGCGAGAGGTGGTCCGGGCCGTTTCGCTTGAGACATCCTCAGAACTCTGAGCCCCGAGGTGCCGTGCGAGAGGTGGTCCGGGCCGTTTCGCCTGAGACATCCTCGAAACTCTGAGCTCTGAGATGCCTTGCGCGAGATGGTCCGGTCCGTTTCGCCTGAGACATCCTCGAAACTCTGACCTCGGAGATGCCGCGCGAGAGGTGGTCCGGCCCGTCTCGCCTGAGACATCCCCGAACTTCTGAGCTCTGAGATGCCCTGCGCGAGGTGGTCCGGCCCGTCTCGCCTGAGACATCCTCGCATCTCTGAGCTCTGAGATGCCGTGCGCAAGGTGGTCCGGCCTGTTTCACTCGAGACATTCTCGCAACTCTGAGCTCCCAGATGCCGCGCAAGAGGTGGTCCAGCCTGGGGGCCCAGAAGACCACATGTTACATATCCTCCCTGGGACCCTGGGAGCCCGCCTGAGACATCCTCGAACATCTGAGCTCTGGAATGCCCTGCGCGAGGTGGTCCGGCCCGTCTCGCCTGAGACATCCTCGCAACTCTGAGCTCTGAGATGCCGTGCGCAAGGTGGTCTGGCCTGTTTCGCACAAGACATTCTCGCAACTCTGAGCTCTCAGATGCCGCGCAAGAGGTGGTCCAGCCTGGGGGCCCAGAAGACCACATGTTACATATCCTCCCTGGGACCCTGGGAGCCGGAGGCCGCAGGACGCCCAGGACAGGCCCCAGGGGTCCGCAGGAGATTCCCAGGAGGCTCCCAGGAGGCTCCCAGGAGGCCCCCCATCAGAACGTGTCAAGTTAATACACATCCGGTGTCGATTCGTTGATTTTTCCTGCTCTTGTGGCCCCCGCCCATTTTGGGGGGCCCCGACGGCCACATGTTAGATATCCCCCCCTGGGAGCCCCAAGATGCTTCAGGAAGCCCCAGGTGGGGTCCAGGAGGCCACAGAAGGCCCAGGAGGAAGCCCCAGGAGGTCACCATGAGGCCCCAGGAGGCCCCAGGAGGCCCACGCAACTCTGAGCTCTGAGACGCCGCGCTCGAGGTGGTCCGGCCCGTTTCGCCTGAGACACGTTTCGCCCGAGACATCGTCGCAACTCTGGGGTCCGAAATGCCGCGCGCGAGGTGGTCCAGCCCGTTACGCCTGAGACATCCTCGCAACTCTGGGCTCCGAGATGCCCTGGGCGAGGTGGTCCAGCCCGTCTCGCCTGAGACATCCTCGCAACTCTGAGCTCTGAGATGCCGTGCGCAAGGTGGTCCGGCCCGTTTCGCACAATACATTCTCGCAACTCTGAGCTCTCAGATGCTGCGCAAGAGGTGGTCCAGCCTGGGGGCCCAGAAGACCACATGTTACAGATTCCCCCTGTGAGCCCCAGGGGGCTCCAGAGAGCTCCAGGAGGCCGCAGGACGCCCAGGACAGGCCCCAGGGGTCCGCAGGAGATTCCCAGGAGGCTCCCAGGAGGCCCCAGGAGGCCCCCTATCAGAACGTGTCAAGTGAATACACATCTGGTGTCGATTCGTTGATTTTTCCTGCTCTTGTGCACCCTCCCCCATTTTGGTGGGCCCCGACGGCCACATGTTAGATATCCCCCCTGGGAGCCCCAAGATGCTTCAGGAAGCCCCAGGTGGGGTCCAGGAGGCCACAGGAGGCCCAGGAGGAAGCCCCAGGAGGTCACCATGAGGCCCCAGGAGGCCCCAGGAGGCCCCCGCAACTCGGAGCTCTGAGACGCCGCGCTCGAGGTGGTCCGGCCCGTTTCGCCTGAGACTTCCTCGCAGCACATTTCACCCGAGACATCGTCGCAACTCTGGGGTCCGAAATGCCGCGCGCGAGGTGGTCCAGCCCGTTACGCCTGAGACATCCTCGCAACCCTGGGCTCCGAGATGCCCTGGGCGAGGTGGTCCAGCCCGTCTCGCCTGAGACATCCTCGCAACTCTGAGCTCTGAGATGCCGTGCGCAAGGTGGTCCGGCCCGTTTCGCACAATACATTCTCGCAACTCTGAGCTCTCAGATGCTGCGCAAGAGGTGGTCCAGCCTGGGGGCCCAGAAGACTACATGTTACAGATTCCCCCTGGGACCCTGGGAGCCCCAGGAGGCCCCGGAGAGCTTCAGGAGGCCGCAGGACGCCCAGGACAGGCCTCAGGGGTCCGCAGGAGATTCCCAGGAGGCTCCCAGGAGGCCCCAGGAGGCCCCCTATCAGAACGTGTCAAGTTAATACACATCCAGTGTCGATTCGTTGATTTTTCCTGCTCTTGTGCCCCCCCCCCATTTTGGGGGGCCCCGACGGCCACATGTTAGATATCCCCCCCTGGGAGCCCCAAGATGCTCAGGAAGCCCCAGGTGGGGTCCAGGAGGCCACAGGAGGCCCAGGGGGAAGCCCAAGGAGGTCACCAGGAGGTCCCAGGAGGCCCCAGGAGGCCCCCGCAACTCGGAGCTCTGAGACGCCGCGCTCGAGGTGGTCCGGCCCGTTTCGCCTGAGACTTCCTCGCAGCACATTTCGCCCGAGACTTCGTAGCAACTCTGGGGTCCGAAATGCCGCGCGCGAGATGGTCCAGCCCGTTACGCTGGAGACATCCTCGCAACTCTGGGCTCCGAGATGCCGTTCGGGATGAAGAAGTGGAGGAGGTGGAGGAGGAGGAGGAGGAGGAGAAGGAGGAGGAGGAGGAGGAGGAGAAGGAGGAGGAGGAGGAGGAGGAGGAGGAGGAGGCATGTTTAACATGCCATGCCAGCCCGCACTGGACGGGCACGCAATCGACCATGGAAACCGCAGTGGGTCTAAAAACCCTGTTTGGGGATACTGCACTCCGGCTATAATGTGAGCTCTTTTTTTTTGCTGTGCCTATTTTGGGTATTTTTGGAGTGTATGTTTTGGTTTTCGTCCGAAATTCGCCTCCAGGGGGACACGCCCGACCTAAGACTTCGTTCCGATCCTGGCTTCGTTTGGGTGCGGGGTGGCCGGCGCGGCGCCTCCTCCCGCGCAGCAGTCTTCGGCGGCCGCGCGCGAGACCGGGGCCGCGCGCTCCGTGGGCTCGCGCCGCCCTTCATCGAGGCAGGAGGAGGAAGAGGAGGAGCAGGAGGAGGACGACGAGCAGGAGGTCGACGAGGCGTCGCCGCCGCCGCCGCCGCCGCCGCCGTCGGCGTCGGCGCCGTCGGCGTCGGCGCCGTCGTCGTCGTCGTCGTCGTCGTCGTCGTCGTCGTCGTCCTCGGCGTCGGCGGCGTCGGCGCCCGCCGGCAGCGCTCCCCAGCGGCGGGCCGTCCGCGGGGCGCTGGGCGGCGCGGCGGCCCCGCTCCCCGCGGGCGGCGAGGCGGCCCCGCTCGGCGGCGGCCTCCTCGCTCGGCGTCGATGCTTCCTCCTCCTCCTTCTACTACTCCTCCTCCTTCTCGTCCTCCTCCTCCTCGTCCTCCTCCGCGTCCTCCTCCTCCTCCTCCTCCTACTCCTCCTCCTCCTCCGCGTCCTCCTTCTCCTCCTCCTCCTCCTGTTCCTCCTCCTCCTCCTCCTCCTCCTCTCCTCCTCCTCCTCCTCCTCCTCTCCTCCTCCTCCTCCTCCTCTCTCCTTCTCTTTTATCTCCTCCTCTCCTCGCCCCTCCTCTGCTCCTCCTCCCCGTCCTCCTCCTCGTCCTCCTCCTCCTCCTCTTTTCCGTATCTCCTCCTCTCCTCGCCCCTCCTCTGCTCCTCCTCCGCCTCCTCCTCATCCTTGTCCTCTTCCTCCTCCTCTCTGCACTGCACCGTCGTCGCTTTGCACGCGCCCGTCGTCGTCGTTGTCGTCGTCGTCGTCGTCGTCGTCGTCGTCGTCGTCGTCGTCGTCGTCGTCGTCGTCGTCGTCGTCGTCCTTGTTCTCGCAGATTCGACGCGGGAACTAATTCTGGGGCGAATCCATTCTATGGTCGATCTCCTGCTCGCGTGGTGAGGGGATGGACATTTCCGTGTTCCTGGTCCGATTTGATTTCCGCTCCGACCAGTTCTTTGTCCGACGACTGACGCCTCTGAGGCATGAGCGAGGGCCACACATGTCCACAAACCTCCATCCTGGACCTTCGTCCCTCGACGACGAAGATGACGAGCTCGGCGTCGACCTTCGATACCGTAGGCCCGCGTCGTGCCGACCGGCGGCTACCTCGCCGCCCTTGTTCAACGCTGAACGCCGCCGGCGCCTCAGAATCGGCCGATATTGAACTATTGGACGCTTGGGAAAACGCTGAACGTTCAAGGTTGAACGATGCCCGCGGTGTCAGGAACTAACGCCAGGGTCGACACGGTGCGAACCTGCTGTAGGCGCTAATGGTGAGGGGGAGAACATGTCTCGCCTCCGCTTCCCCTCCCTCGACCCCGCGGCTGGATTCGGTTCGAAACCCATGTCATGACCGCACCGTGGGAGAGGTTCACTGAGCAGCGGAATCGGTAGTTTTTGTTTGTGCCATTGGGGTTCGCCTTCCTCCTCATCCTCCTCTTCTTCCTCTTCTTCCTCTTCTCACATTGCACAGGCTCTGGCACGTCTGTGGGCTGTAGCGTCTTGATGACCGCGATCCCAGAAAAAACAGCGAATCCAGAAGCAGCGCTCGATCCACCTCCTCCTCCTCCTTCTGTGCGGTTCCTCGGCGACGGAGCATCGACCAGCTCTTGACACCGAACGTCATGACGCCGCGGCTTGACATCACCCCCCGCTTCCAGGCACGTGGTTGGTATCCCCATTCACCCAACATCGCCCCGATGAGACAGCCGCGACAGCCCTCCTCTCCGACTGCAGTGGCAGGTGGGCGTTTGGGGATGGCCCCTCCTCCGGCTCCTCCCCTCCTCCTCTTCCTAGCCTCCCTCCCTCCCTGCCTCCCGACTTTCTCCTCCTCCCCTTCTCCCCCTGCCCCCTTCTCCCCCTTCTCCCCTTCTCCTTCTCCCCTTCTCCTTCTCCCCTTCTCCCCATGCCCCCTCCTCCCCCTCCTCCGTCTTCCTTCCTCAGGGAGGTTCCGATGCTGCCCGACTGTGCGGGGGGGCCCGCGCAGGGCCCCTGGACCGCCAGCAGCTGCGCTGTCCAGGAACCCCACGTACCAACTGTAGGTCTTGTGTGTATCACTGGTATCACGACTACGACGACGAGGACGACAGCGACGACGATGACGACGAGGACGACGACGACGACGACGACGACGACGACGACGACGACGACTACTACTTCTTCTACTACTACTACTACTACTACTACTACTACTGCTACCACTACTGCTACTGCTACTACTAGTACTACGACTATTACTGCTATTGCTACTACTACTACTACTACTACTACTATTACTAGTACTACTACTACTACTACTACTACTACTACTACTACTACTTCTACTACTACTACTACGACGACTACTACTACTATGTACTACTACTACGACTACTACTACTAGTACTAGTACTAGTACTAGTGCTACTACTGGTATTACTATCATTACTTCTACCACTACTACTACTATTATTATCAGTATTCCTACTACTACTAATGTTACTACTACTACTACTGCTACTACTACTACTACTACTACTACAAGTACAACTACACGTACTGCTACTACCACTACTACTACTACTACTACTACTACTACTACTACTACTACTTCTACTGCTTCTACTACTACTACTACGACTACTAGTACTGACACCTTTACTACTACTACTACGACGACTACTACTGCTACTACAACAACAACAACTACTACTACTACTACTGCTACTACTGCTACCACTACCACTACCACTAACATGAACATTTCTTCTACCACTACCGCTACCACTTCCTCCGCAGCTACGTCTACTTCTCCAACT